TAATCTATGATGCAGTATGTGCATATGCTGCAAAATAATTATGTAATAATTATAAATTTTGAAATACTATATTTTTTACTTAGCAACGACAGAATGTGAAACAAATGAATATTGCTATATTTGACAAGTGACATTTGTAGTTTGATATGTCACTATACTATGAACGTCACTTGTCAAATAAGTTATTAAATAGATTAATATTGTATGTGCATATATATACTGAAAGAAATATGTGATAATTATTAATTTCGTAATACTGTTTTCTTTTTAATAAAGCTTAATTAAAGTATGTTTTTACTTGTATTAATGTTATATATTTGACAACTTATTTGACAAGTGACATTTATAGTTTGATATGTCATTTGTCAAAAAGTTGTCAAATATAGTAATATTGACAAATGTATCAACTTAAATGCAAATTCTTCTACTATTTATCCGCTGCTACTATAAATCATTTGGCTAATACAAAAGTAAAAATATTTTCACTTTGATATGTGTCTCCACTAGTTATACAAAAGTAAGCAATTTGACAAATAAAAAAAAATCAATTTCATAAAATACATTGAATTTTGCAAGTGCCGAAATATGATATTTTTTGTAGCTGTAATTTGACAAGTAGCAAGTACATATCGGAAAAACTACTTTACTTTAGTATCTCGTGCATTGTGCATTAAAGCACAGGTTTTAAGAAATCCTTTAATCCTTTTATATTTTGTGTGAGATCCCACAATTGGAGACTCGCGAGACCGGAAATCCTTAATTTAGAATTGGGAATCGTTTGATTTTTCCGAAAAGGATTAAATTTAGAACGACCAAAATTTATAGTACTTCTTACCGTTAATGTTGATGCTGCAGTTGTTGCTGTTAAAGGTTCTTTATATTTTGTCACGTGTTTTTCGTTTATCGTGCAGCATTATAGCATTATACAAATTTAGAACTTCTTTGGTGCCAACCAGTTGCTGTTTAGCGAGACGCAGTTCCGGTAATTATATCAAGTCGGTGTTCCCAAACTCTGTTCTCCGTTGTTGTTTTTTTTTTCATTTCGAACGGCACTCCCTTCGCATGTCCATCAAAAATGTTTTAGTGGACGATTTTTCAAGTTTCAATTACAGTTTTAAAATAATCCTATTTACAATTCAATTATAAAAATAGCATTTTTATACAACGTAAAAAATTGTATGAATTATTGCAAATTTTAGATTTTACATTTCTTAGATTATAACGTTTATTTGATGATTTATAATTAAAAAAGTTAAGCAACGTTTACTGTGGATTCAACATGGATGGTTGAGCAATTCGAGACAAATAAGATGGCACTCGAGTAGAACGGAAATAATTTACTAAAGCAACAAGCCTTAACTGACGTTTGAAGGACCTACTGGTTATTGAGACTGAATCCTTCCAACATAACCATTTTTAAAAAACAAAAGCATTATAAAGATACCAACATAAAAAAATAAGTTAGTAACATTACTAATATAAAAAAACAAAGAAAGAAAATGCGAAAAAACAAAGCAGTTATCACTTGATTTAATGACAAAATTCGCAAGTTATTGTTAGTTTTATAAAGAATTGGCGAATAAAATTGTCATAATATAACAATATTTATTGCTTCAATTATGCAATTGTTAGTTTTACAAGAAGTAGTATGTATTTAATTATTTCAGAATACATTAATTGCATAAACTAAAAATAAAAATTTTCTACTAAATTTTCATAATACAACAATATTTATTGTAACAATACAATACATATAATAACATTTTTGTAACTTAAAAAAATGAATAAAGGTAAAACTGGCTTCAAATTACTAAACATGAAAAGGTTAATACATTTCCATATAATAATAATAATGTTTTCCTCTGATTTTTCACTCATATTTGATAATTAGTTTTTAAATCCTCGATTTTTTCGAATAATCAATTTTTCGTAAAAATAAAATATTTTCGTATATTTTACTTTTATTTTACATTTTTTAATAAATTTAATTTAAATTTATCATTTTCTACAGAATTTTCTTTGCGATTTCTAAAATTTTCTTCGAACGGTTTTGCGGATTTCTCAATGATTAAGGTCGGCGCCAAATTGAAAATCGTGCACATCTCTTTTTTATTCACTTTTTTTTCATTGCTAAGTCTATATAGCTATAGTGGGTAATAATTTTAGTAATTACTTGAGCATACACGACGGAAGGTATCGAAGCGTATGATTTCAAGAACTCTTCATAATTGCTCAATTGCCAAAATGCTTATTTTTTTTTACCTTGAGAGCGTATATTATTAATTGTCTTCTACCATCATCGTCATTTTAATTATACATGTTTTAGCACACAATTTGATCTGCTATAAAAAGAATACGTATTCATTACATAAATGGCAATTTTCAAATGGTAAATTTTCAATGGTAATTATAACAAAATCCCGACAATAACATTTTTAAATTATTCCGGAGCGTAGTGACTTTTAAATTGTCATTATTTCATATTGTGATTATTTCATAATGTTAAGGTTTATTATCATTAATTCAACAAAATCCAATAAATTAATAATCATTTATTGTTATTAATAAGAGACTACGCTCCGAAATAATAAAATGTTATTGTAAAAATTTTGATATAGTCGGGATTTTGATACAGTCGGAATTTTGATATAATCGGGATTATGGTTGTCGAGATTTTGATATAGTCGGGATTTCGAACGTCGGGATTTCAATAGACGGTCTTTCGGTTGTCGGGCTTGCGATATAGACCCATAGAAAAGAAATACAAATATGAACAATGAAATAAATTTGGAACAGAAAAACACAGAAGGACGTTCCTCAAATACGCATATGATATCGATCGAAATGCCTAAAACAGCATAAACAAATGACTGTAATCCCACGTGCAGTGCTACCAGCAGAATTGAACGTTCATAAATAAAAATTGATAGAAATCTTAATTATAAATGCCAAATTGTTTTTGCTACTTCTTTGCGATGTGGTATTGACCTGCAGGTGTCCTTGAGCCCACCTAATGTTTTAACATTATTAATAGTAGAAGAATACGATTTTCCTTTCGATGTTTCAACGAGCATTAATCTCGCCTACTTAATTAAAATGTATAGGTAACAAAGCGATTGAAATGGAATTAATTGCCAGATAATCTGCAAGTTGTTCATGCGTAACAGACGTTTCTTATTTAACAGAACTTAATTTATATCTTGAGAAAACAAGTTATATCCATTATTCAATCATATTAAATGAATGTATTTTTTTTTATTAATGCAATAATAATTTGTTTGTTGAAGGTTGCTGGATTTATACCTTTTGCAGATAATTTAGAGTTAACATTAAATTATTTAATAACATTCCGTAAATTATCATAGATCATTTAAAAAATGTAAATTTTGAACAAATTTAATGTTTTGAAACGATTGATTTGTTCAGTTCTGAAGGTTTTTAATGGTAAACCAATTTTAAGTTGTTGTTGCAAGTTTATTGTTATTTAAATCCATTTTCACATTTGTTTTTCCATAGTTTTCTATACTATTTTTACTAATTATCTGCATGCATTTGCCAATTGTTTTTTTAATACGTACAAGATTTTATGTATAAATTTAATTTTACTCATTTTGTATAAAGAAAAAATCACATTTTCGAATATTTAACTTTGATGTTATTTCGTTGTTGATGGTAATTGATGACATAACTTCTGTTTACATTGAGAAGTGGACATGTAATGATTTGTGGTTATTTAAATTGATACAGTAATTGCATACTACGAGTTAAATAAATTTTGTACAATTAAATGTAAACGTGTGTTTAACTTAAGCACATTTCGATCATTTACTGTTGTTTAGCGGTAATTTTCTGGGAAAATCTCTTCCTTTGATAATGGCCATTGTTAAAGTTCATTGAATGAAGCAATTTGTTCATGACTGAATTCTAAAGAAAATTCTGCAGTAGCACAGCCATACTCATCACAATGTTAATTTAAACAAACAGTAACTGAATCACTATTAAATATGGATTATTTATCATTCTATTCAAATGAGAATACTATAGTTTTACATAGAACATTGTACATACACATTGTACAAATATTCACTTTACTAATTTTAAATTCAAATCATGAAGATAGTTACCATTCATTATGATTATTATTATTGGTATATGCTGACAATTATTATATGAATTACCATAGAAACGCAACTATAACCAATGGAAATCGTTTAAATATTTGTATTGTCTTATTAGATGATAATAACATGTCATGATTAAATAATATAGAGAATAATTCACAATATAGAAATATACACTTAATTAATCTACTTAAGATTTAAAATAAGTTTTTTTTTAATACATATGAAATGAAAATACTCATCATTCATGATGATGATTATTGGTCAAATAAACTGATAATTATTATTTGAATTACCATAGAAACGTAACCAGAACCAATGGAAATCACGTTAATATTTGTATTGTTTTATTAGAAAATGACATGTCATGTTTTATACAATATTATATAAAAAAACTTAAATGAAAGTTTCGTGACCATTTGATGGAAAAAGCTGCACTCCACTATGTAGGTTGACATTTTCTAAAAGATATTTTCTTAGGTCCGCATGTTTTATTCAATTTGTTTAAATACAATTATTTATTAACTTTTTTTTTCAACATAATATTGGGAAATGTTAAAAATATATTTAAATAATCTATATTGAAATTGATTTTTATTTATTAATAAAAATGTACAGCGAATAACGCTGATTCAATATTTCCTATATACAATATGTTATATGAAGCTTCGTTTAACGCATTTAACGCTGGAACTTATTGGAACGTCTTACTATATGATAACAGCATACGAAAGTTAAACAAAGTGTGATTAGGATGAAGTTTTAATGGGTGACTTATTTTCTAACAGAATTATATTTAAGTAATTATAAAATCCTTTAAGAAATGTACATTTTATTTTTTGTTAAAATACTAATTTTTCTTTTTTTTTTTGGTTGCAGGCAGAAGTGAACGATCGAGATGATGATACGAACAAATATTGGAACATCAGGAATACGAATCGAACGCCTTTTACTTACACGAATCGTGCATCGGGTGTGTCCATAGAGAATGTTTATTTATCTTCGCAGATTGATGCATTGCAATGGCAACTCAAAGAGGTAATCAACTTCAACATTCTCCAATACCGATCGTTTTGTTGCATAATCGATATTATCCAATAACTGTTTACTTTTTTATGTACTGAATTTAATTAAAACGCACTGTTATTCTAATTGACTGAATAATGATAGGTGAAGGAATGTACGTTGTTTAGTTACATAATATCGAATTCTAGTGGAATTAGGTTGTACACTTTTATAATTAGCGAAACTCATTTCTGTATTAATATTTGAATTTATCTATAACTTTAATCATTATTAAAAGATCTTATTAAACAAGCCAAACATATTTGTTATAAATTTAAAGAAAAATCATGAAATAAGGTAATAAAAGTTAAATATTTCAAAGTAAAATATATATAAAATGTTTTTTATAATAATTCAAAAATTCCATTATTGTAATTGACAAAAAGTTGAACATTTGTTGATTGAATAATACAAAATTCTATTTGAATTTGGAAGCATTGCTTAACATGGAATTTATCAACATTAAATTGATTTAAAAATATAATTATTACGAATCTAAACGAAATTAACAAATGTATAAGATATTCAAAAATAATATTGAAAATTTCTTGTTGAATAATACAATATTCTTTAGGTATTAGGTAGTATTGTTTAACATGAAATTCATAAACATTAAATTGTTCTAAAAATATGATTCTTCAAGCTTATTTCAATATCAAAATTACGAATCTAAACGAAATTAACAAATGTATAAGATATTTTTAATGATTCAAAAGTACCGTTATTGTACTTGATAAAAAGTTGAACATTTCTTGTTGAATATAATACAATATTATATAGGAATTGACAGCATTGTTTAACTTTGAATTCATCAAACTTAAATATATCTAAAATATAATTATCCAAGCTTATTTCAGTATAACATTTTCATTTTTGTAATTTATAAAAAAAAAGTTGAAGAAATGTTCAAAAAAACATTAAATAAGATTTTAATATAATTATCGAAGCAAATTCTATTAAGCTTAGGCAGAATGAACTAATTTTCAAAATATTTGAAATTAATGAAACATTCAATTATTGTAATTGATAGAAAACTATTTGGATCACTTCTCGTTGTATAATATTCGGAATTTTATCGGAATTAGGTAGAGTCGTATTCTAATTAGCGAAACTAATTTCAGTGTCAAAATTGGGACGACGTAACGAGCGGTTTGAAATGTCATCACGTAATGACGTCCTTCCAATTAATTGGCAATTGAAGTACAGTACAGTTACAAGGCTCGAAAGTCCTTTGTCCAAACTCATCAAAAATTGAGCTCTCCGTGCACGGTATACACCCACCTGAATTATATACCAAGTGATCCAAATAATCTACAACCATACACAATTAGTTGTAGATTATTTGGATCACCAAAATGAGTAAAATAGGTAAAAATAGTTCAATTATACAAATTTTACCGATTTTTTAAATGCATTTTCGATTACTTGATGTAACGTCCATAAATTCATCTTTTTAATTTGGACGCATTCTGAATGTCATTGAACTAATTTAAACACACTTAGATCCATTAACATTCCCAATCAATATCAATATTTGTTCAATCTCTTAACTTAAGAAACATATACAATAAATTTAGTTTTCCTAAGTAATATTTATGTTTTGAATATCTTATTTTTTCTAATTCTACAAATAAGTTCTACATCATTCATGAAAATCTAAATTTTGTACAAAAAAAAAAGTTTTACAGTTATTTTTAATCATTAAGTTGCATTCCTAATGCCGGTAGCCAAGAGAAACCAAAATATTTTTGTTTTTTGTTTTCAAACGGTCTTCGCGTTCAGAGTTTAATTCCAATTGGACCGTGTGCTCTTGGTTTCGGATTGTTTTCATTTCCAGTCGATGTTTGTCGTTTAATTTGTCCGTTCGTTCTATTCTTGGTTTTGTCTTGTGAATTTATTGATGGTTCAATTTTCCTGTTTGTTTACTTTTTCTACAGTGTGTTTTTTGCTTCATATGCTTCTGTGTTTTATTTATTAGTATAAATAGATTATCACACAAATTTTATTGTTTACTAGATGTGTTCAAATCTTGGTGATTATAAACATAATTATTTCGTTTCTTAGAAAGTGTCATGAAATTTGTTTTACTTAAAAAATCTTAAAAATAAATCCAATTATCTGTATTATTATTAACATTTTTAACTTCTTCTGCTATTTCCAATTTAACGTCAGCTTTTTTGCTAAAATCTTCTTATTTATGATGTAGTAAGAAATATCAATGATCTTAGTTTTCAAATAACAATATTTTTTTTACATTTATTATTTGCGATAAATTTATTTCATCGTTATTTTATTAAATAATTGAATATTAACTAGAATAAATAGTTAATATTTCTTTTAATTCGACTTTCGCAAAAGTGATTTTTCTTAACTTTACTCTACATTTTTTCACAAATAAATTGCACAGAAGGTGAATTCAATGCCACGACCGCATTTATAGAAAACTGGATGAAAATCCAATGTAATACAAGGACGGATAAGATATTACTACCTAACACACATCAAATGTATAATAAAAAATAACTTATATTCCTCATAATGTCACGTTTATTAGTTTTGTTTGAAACACAATAAATTAACAAATACAGTGGAACCTCGCTTAACGAGCACCTTGTATAACGAGCATTTCGCTTAACGAGAAAAATGAATTGTAAGAAAAATGACTCGCATAACGAGTGACGAAGAGAAGAGAAGTCCCGGATTGTGCGCCTGCTACATCATTTTTAAAACTTGTGTACACATATTATGTGTATTTTTAATGTTTCACTATACAAGTAAAAATTTGGAAATTTTGGAACGAATTAAACTCGTTAAGCGAGGTTCCACTGTATACTGATTAAAGTGATCAATGAAATGACCAATTAGGTGTTAGATCTTGTAGCAAATATAGTTACATAATCTCAATTAGACTTTGAGTCTTCTGTGACATTCAATGGATCAGTTAATCAAATTTTAGGGACGTTGTTGTTTAAATCCCAGAGGATATTATAACCCAGATTTTCGGCGAAGCGTATTATTCGCTCCATCAGAACAGAGAGCAAAACATTTTAATCGAATGTTTTCCGGACGAGCGGCGAATATTTGTGGTACCGGTTCGCATTTTTGTTTTGTTTGTGTGTTATAAATTACCGTAAAAAAGAAATGCTACAATTTGTTATACAACGCATAAAATGCCGTAATGAGCTAATAATAATAATATATCTGCATCGGATGGAATATTAATGGTAACTGTGCAAAGAAAACGCAAATAAAACAATTTATTAATAACGAAGGAAAAAAAAGCATTTATTAGAAAGTCTGCAGTTGCATTATTGTTATGTTTTCTGTAATTATATAAGTACGTATTTATAGACTGCACTTGATTCATTCCATGTTCATAATTAAATCATTTATAAATTCAAACTTCTTTCTTAGGACGCGCGGAAAGGAGATTTAAGATTTTTGTTCCGTTCAGAAGACCCAATACTTTATAAGAAAATGACGTTTGATGACAGCTGTCATTTTTGCGCGACACATAGGTTGAGAAACACTTATGTGGACTATTCGTTAAGAAGTTTAGACGTTAAGTAAATATATATATTTCAGATAGGTGAAAAATGAAATTCATATAATGTAGTAACTGCGAAATGTATCCTAGATATCGTTACAATCTATTAACAAAAAAAAATCGAAGTCACACAGGATGTATGTTCCAGCATAACAGTATTATTTTATTTTTCGCATTCCAAACTAATTAACATTTGCTTCTGCTCTCCAAGTATAATTCCATTTTTATGTCTCTCTGCAAATTTTATGTTTTACTGCATATATCCTTACCGGCCATAACGAACTGCGCTTTCTCGAGATCATATCTCCAACGTGCATCATTTGCACTAAATATTACGGACGGAGAACGTTCGCTAAAAACCAACTATATTTCATTTCTTATAGAAATGTTTAATCGTTAAAGTAATCAGCATTTAGTCTAAGAATTCAAAGAATCTACATGCCATGAGTGGTAATTTTAGAACTGCAACAATTTTTGCATTTCATTCAAAGATTTGATATAATCAATGTTGTAAGTCCAAAGTGTCATAAAAGAAATGTTATGCTTATTTTTTATTTATTTAAGGTTATATCAGTCAATCTTTCTCAATAATATATTTCACACTGATTTAACAAATTATTGTTTAAAAATTATATATTTATTGTTTTTCTTTAAAAAGTTATTTTAAATCAAAATTGTAACGTTTCTTTTATGACACGTCGTTTTTTTAATTTGTTTAAAGCCTCAATTACTAAACTATTTACGTAAAATGCAAGGCTTTTAATATGTAAGAATGTAAAAGCATTCTAATAAGTATGTTGTTATACGTTGTGTTTCATGTACATTTCGATTTATCCTGAGGAACGTATCAAATATGAATAGCTACAAATTGCTTCTCGGCCGCAACGAAGATTAGTCATCGTGTCATGTAACTCTATATACCTCGGTACATTTCTTGCAGACACCGATTAGTTTGTTTACGAGCTTCCGCAACCTGGTAATTACATACAATTTCTCCATCTATTTCTCGAAATAAAGACAAGAAAAGAGTAAAATTCCGGTTGCGGCTCAGCAAGTTTCTTACACAAATCATAAGCAAAACAAAAAAGAAGATAAAGTTTGTGCGTTTTGCTTTTATTTCTCTGATCGTAATTGCATAATTCCGCAATCCATAGTTTTGTTTTGTGTATAATTTTATAAGTTATGAATAGTTTGAATGTAGTGTAAGACAATTTAAAAAAAAGGCGACCAATATTGGCGACAATTAACGGAAATCTGTGAGAAAGATCAAATGCTTCATGCTTCATATGCTTCGCAAAAATTCTTTATTCAATAAAGCACAATGCGATGACCGAAAAAATAATAGAGTTACCGTTCTCTAAATCGACTGTGTGGAAAGGAAGCTAGCGAAATCTGCAATAACCGTTCTCTTCACTAGTTTTTTCTTGGCTTTTGTTTTGTTAAATCCTAGTTTGTAGAGCAGCTCGATGATATTGTATCATTGTCTACTAGGAAAATTGGGAATCGATTGTCGTTCAATATTGAATCTCTCAGTGCAAGATGATTCATCGCGATTGTCTTCTATCCAGGTTAAAGAAATAAAAAAATATAATTAAATATTCTTTAACTCTGCATTCATTATGCGCGCATGTAACATACATGCACTGATACCGAAAAATCCGCTAACATAGAACAAAAGAAAATTGCACGGTCCCCTTTCACCTCCACCGCATATATTAATTGTATTATTCTTTTGCAGGTAGAATCCAGCCGTGGGATATACAGGACAGTGATGAAGCAGCTGGTAACGTTCTTGGAAAAAGCGCACAGAAGCTTGGAACTGTTAGACTCTAAGCTCAATAACGACAGACTGCCAAATAGAGAAGAGGATTGCTGCTCTTCATACAACGGAGAGCTGAACGATTCCTCTTCGTGGATTGGGAAGACGTGTACAGATTCTGCAGATGTAACTTACAGAAACGTCAGTAGGTAATGTAGATGAAAAGATGCGTATTCTTCGAACGGTTTTAATGATTTGATTTACAGGAGAGCCAAACGAAATAGTCTGCCGCACGAGATATCACCTCATAGTTTGTCGCAAGAGGCTTACAGACTGCTGAGGACCGCCGAATCCCTCTTGAACACGCAAGAACCAGATTTGACGAACCTGAAAAGCAATCAATCTAAAGATTTGGAGTTTCTGGCGCAGCTGGCAAAGGAATTCCCTGCAGAACCGAGCGTCCGCAAGCAGATTTCCTTGAACCCGAAACTCCTGACTCCCGAAAAGGAATCGAAACCGACGCCCAGCAAAATCACGACCTCCGATATCTTCAGGGAGACTTTATCCCGGAGCACGGTGCTTTCCTCCAAGTCTTCGATCGCCAACGATGCCGACTTCTCTTCCACGCTAACAGACGGACACAGTTTAAGTTTTAAAACGAATTCTTCACCAGTGAGCAGCATAGGTTCCGCCGAAGACGAGAGCGGTTTCAGCTCGCTGAATTCCTTTCAAGAAGTCGGGTTGCCGATGACGAACGATCCAAAAAAACACAGGCTATACGAAACCGAAACGTCGACTGAAAACGATAACTTTAGATTGTGGAAAACTACGACGACGATGACAACGACGGACCAACTGAGTTTAAGTACAAGAGGTGAAACTACTAAATCCGAGAAGATTCTGATGAATGTGCTTTGGGTGTAATCGTCATTCCAGGATTTTTTTATTATTTCTCCTATTTTTTACGAAATTAATGACTTTTTTTTCAAATCACATGAAATACATTTTCAATGCCATGCTTAGATGCTTCGCCATTGCGATGCAATGCATGGATTTTTATTTTTTTTTGCGATTAACTTAATTTTTAGCTTACATTTTGTATTCTGAGGACGGCAGACAATTGCCGAAGCGCTAAATTTAATTAGAACTGTTATATTGAAATGTGATATTGAAATTATGTAAAAAAATGTTTCTTATTTATATTGTTTTTTTTTGTACTAAATCTACTTGATAATGATAATAATTAAACTTCCATAGTATACTTAAATATTTAATCTCAATTATTCACCTACTTCCGACCTTACAAATACACTAAGATAGTTATTTTTTCTAGGAAATTATAACATTGTAATTTCCTTACGTAATACGCTTTTACAACATAAAAATTATATTTCTTGTAGTACTTGCGCAAGTCAAAAATGACAACTTGCCAAAGTTAATCAAAGCCTATTTATAATACTGCAGCAAGGGATAATTAAAGACATACAACTAATCTAAAAAAATAATTTATTAGGGCAAATAGCACTTTGCATAAAATGTTTAAACAAATAAATATATTATTCTATTTTCAACAAATAATTTTTATCCTTTAAAAAGTAAAAAAATAAATTTGATTATTAACGATTTACATGAATTGATCAGTATCTAACAGAGACATAGCCACATCGGTTTTGGTCAATCTTGATGGTATGGCTCCATTATCCTCGTACTCTTCATCGGTAACATTACTAACATCCATCGTGAGATACTCGACATCGCTCCTGCTCACGCTCTTATCATATTTTGCTCCTTCGATAGTTTCATCACACTCCGCCAACAATCGACTGATATCCTGAAACAATTAATAAAGCCGTCGAGTCAAGCTCGATTACCTCCGCAATTTAATTACTCACATTAGGTAATTGCTCTTTGAATATATCCAGGCCGTTCTGAAGGAACTTGAGCTGCGGATATTGTGATACGACGGAAAATTGATTCGCGATAGCTTCGCCGAAACGCGAATGGCAATTGTGCATTACCAGATTACACAATGCGACGCTCTGGCCTCTTTTAACGCCGTGCAGCAACGAACACAACTGTGGTCCGTCCATAATCCTCACAAGCAATAACCTGAAACTCGGAATTGTAGAATTATTTGAATTTGAGCGTGAATTGATAATTCGCAATACCTTCCGATGTAGTCGGATAGCCACAGCTCTTGCTCGTACGTAGAAATCGTAATTCGGATGACCAAACCAACGGTGTCGAATTCATTGAACCTCGGCTTATATAATCGATCGACGGTCATGGCAATTGGTAAAAGCTGCCTCTGAGTGTCTTGATATTTCTTGGAAGTACCCACGGTAAGTTGCTTAAAGTACGTCGTATTGCTCGAATGGAACTCGTTGGATGGTCTAAAATTTGCAAATTCATAACATAATTTATTAAATAAACTATGAAAACAGACTTACTTGATACCTATATTATAAACGGTCAAGCACGATTGCTCCTTAAACAATTGCATATGCTCTTCCGTAGGCTGCCAGATGTTGAAGGCGTAGGCCTTAGAATTCTTTCCATCAGCAGCGTCCATAATCAACAATTTCACCATCGACGAAACCTTCCGTTCGCTCACCTTTAGCTCTTTCAATTTCTGTGCTATTATCCTAGTGACATCGTTGTGCTTCTGAGCATTTACAGTTTCCATATACTTAAAAACACCATTTCTCTGAGCATCTGAAAGCGAATTCTGAAAATAAAAAATAATAACATCCATTTATTATTTATAAAATACTACTACTGCATACCATAACGGAATCTGGATCCATACTGGTCTCTACTAAGTGGTGAAGAGTCTTGGAGCAAGTTATACTAGCTATATCCTTTTTGTCCGTGCTACTTGTAGTTTTATCCTCAAAATAATCCTTCTCGTAATCGCTGATTACTTTATCCTTGATGGACTTCACTACTTGCGCACGCTCCATATCAAACTCCTGCCGTCGGTTCTCTTCCGCACGTTGATTCCTCCATACTATAATAAAAACAATTAGACAAATTAAACTAAAATAAGAGTTTATTTACTTCTAGCTCCATTCGTTGTTTCGTAATATCTAACCGGATACACCCTAGCCACGTAGATGTTAACGCAACTGGTAACTCCACCTTCCGGATTAAGACTGGCAAGCGGCAACGGAAACGGCGTCGGGTATTTGTAATAGCCAAGCTTCAAATGCCACACGGCTCTCCTCGTCGAATTGAAGAATATCTTCAGCCTAACGTTATCTGGAACCTACTCTAAAGTAATCTATGTTTGCCATGTTCTTTCCATCACATACATCTAGTGGATGGCAACCCTCGGAATTCATCAGTTCCGCTCCTTGTATGATCAGCTTGGTTCCAACTTTGATCTTCCTTTTGCGAATTTGCGTACACAAAGGTTTATCTATTTCGGTTAGTACAGTATACCAACCATCCGTCAGCTCCAATTCATATTTATAGGAATATAACTGAAACCAGAAATTGTTAATGCCAAAATTTAAAAAAAAAAATAGAATTATAAACTAATACTTCGATTATATTCGAAACACATAAAACCATCCTCTTCTGCGGAACATCATCGCACTCCAAAATCCTTCTTAAAGCTGGTCGTTCTGCTTTATCAATTTCTCTGTCGTATCTGTTAAAAATCAAAATAAAAATCAACAAATTCATTGTAGGATATTCTTCTATAATTACCTGTATTTTAAATGAACTATGATATTTTCAATCGTTAAACAGCCTTTGAAGTATTGTGGGAATTTCCGTTCATACGATGCCAGCTTCCAAATAATCTGCTTGTAGTGATTGATAACCCAGTGTTTGTGCAACAATTTTGGATCGACGCCTTCCATCGCGCGGAAAGCGTTATTTATTTCAGTTACTCCGACAATGTTCGATGAGTTGGGAATCACCGTTGCACCATCCATGGTACAAATCACAGAAGCATTCTGATAATTTCTAAAATTAAAACGTTAATTTGCAAAATGATAATTAAAATAAAAAAAATATAATCAACATTACTTGGATATGTTAAAATGAAGTTTGTCCGCGTTCCAAGGAGAAACGGAAACGATTTGCGAGTCGATGTTGAAGTAATCAATGTTCTCTTCACTGCTTTGAAATAGTTTTTGCAAGGGCACCCTTTCCACGGAATTCATCTTCTTCAAAGATAATATACCCAATCGTTTCCTAAACAAAACATATATGTTATATATGCGTGTAACACAAAAAATAAAATTTGTCTTACCTCCTATAGGATTCATCTGAATTTTCGAGTATTTTCTTTTGCCCCTCCAGAGCGGCCATCCTGTTCTCCAAGATACCCAACTTGTTTTTCAACTCCATATACTCCTTGTCGATCTCATTTTGAGTTTCGGTCAAATCCTCGCAAGATTTCTCATGGAAAATGATGGATGATTTGAGATGCTTTGCATCCAATTTTCCGATCAATGGTTTATCGAAAACTGGTGTTTGCAAATGAAACGCGGAATTGTATTCGATAGAATCATTACATTTTCTTTTCGGCGTGCTGCACGCTAAATTCGAAGCACCTTTATCGAAAGAAGTATCCAAGTCCTGGAACAATAACTTCGTTTTTTCCAGATTCTCTTTAGAAATATTGATGAGATTTCGCCTCTGCATTCCCAATCTCCGTTTCGAGCTCATGGATTTCAAAGGTTTCGTTAGAGGACTAGTGCAGGGGAGGGATTGCTGAATTTTCTTCAGAGGCGTTATTTGAGAGCTCACTTTTTCAATTGCGCTATCGTACGTGTTAACAGCGTCCACGATTAATTCGTGCGCAGTTTTTCCATGTGCACTGTTGAATTTCAACGTGTTTTCGCTGATGTAATCGCCTTTTTCCTTTCCCATACTTTCGCATCCTTCCGATTCAACGACGTTCTTATCCATCAACATATTGTAGGCTTGTTCGATCTTGGATTTGGAAATATCCATCTTATTTCCAGACGCAAAAGTGAACTCTCTCATTGATTGCTCAATGTCCAAATCATTCATTTCCGAATCACCATCCATCAGTAAACTGTGGGCTCTATCAATTTTATCTTTAGAAATATCCACAACTTTACCAGAGCCTAATTGGAAACCGACATTGGAATAAGGATGATTAAAGTCAGGATTTTTGTGCAAAGGATTGGAAACATTCGTTTCTTTTATTATATTGTAAGCTTCGTCGAGTTTCTTTTTGTTTACTACCTTCGAATCCACCTTCAAATCGTTAGATTGAAATGGCTGTAGTTCATTATCAATTAACATCGAATAAGCAAGATCAAACTTTTCTTTCGGTACATTCATTTTCTTTCCAGAAGCCGATAGAAAACCACATTTTTTCTTAGCATTTTGACTTTCAATTGTAGCAATATTTGATTCATTATCCATCAACATTGCATTTGCTAAATCTATCTTTATTTTCTTACCAGGCGCTGATTGAATATTAGATATTTTTGGAATCTCAGGGCATCGTACTGACTCAATATTTACTTCATCGTCCATCAATATTGCATATGCTAAATCTATTTTCTCTTTAGGAATATCCACATTATTTCCTGAAGCTGACTGAAAACCACAAACTTTCTTAACATTTAGACTTTCGACTGCGCCAGTATTTTCTTCATTATCCATTAACATAGCACTTGCTAAATCCATTTTCTCTTTAGGTACATCCACTTTTTTACCCGAAGCCGATTGGAAACCACAAACTTTCTTAACGTTTGGACTTTGGATTGACCCAACATTTTTTTTATTATCCATTAACATAATATATGCTAAATCCATTTTCTCTTTAGGAACATCCAATTTTTTACCCGAAACCGATTGGAAACCGTAAAGTTTCTTAACGTTTGGACTTTGGATTGACCCAACATTTTCTTCATTATCCGTCAACATAGCATATGCTAAATTCATTTTCTCTTTAGGCACATCCATTTTTTTACCCGAAGCCGATTGAAAACCACAAACTTTTTTAACATTTGGATTTTGTTCAAGTTTTTCTTCATTGTCCATCAACACAGCGTATGCTAAATCCATCTTCTCTTTAGGTAAACGCATTTCCTTACCCGACGCCGATTGAAAGCCAACCATTTTCTTACCATCAGGACTCTTAACTGTCCCATGACTAGCATTATTCGTATCTATAAACATATTATAAGCTTCATCAAATTTGTCCTTACAAATGTCCACATGTTTTCCAGAAGCTAAGCTGAATCTATTCGGGGCCTCTGATTTCTTCAATTGCCCACCATTTTCACTCGAAGATTTGTTCTTATTGTCCTCATGTTTACCAACGTTATTTTGTAAATCGCTTTCTACCTTAGTTGTAGCATTGTTATCCTTGACTTGGGTTCTTATAGAACTCCCATTCTCCGACTTAATATTGATTTTAATCCTTTTCGTTCCAATGCATATTTGAACGTGATTATTAGAAGAAACTGAAATAGAATTGCTCAAACTTTTTCGGTTATCGGAAGTATTAGCAGACCCTTCCCGCATCTTCACAGAATTCGGGATAATAGAATACTCATTTTTCTGATACTTATCCACACTTTTATTACAAACATTTTTATGCTTCTTCACCTTCCTTTTAATTGACGACTCCTTTGTCTCAGACACTTCTCCAGATACGAAACTTCCATCCACTGCTTTACAGTGCTTATGAAACTTATGTTTCTTCCACCTCTCAGGCTTGTGCATCTTAATTCTGTTCTTATATTCGGCAGCTTCCAAGTTGTACTGCTCAAACATCCTTTCAGTTTGCTGTAATTCCTCAATTGTGAACCCAGGAAAACCCACACTCATCTTGGATGTTTGCGATTTCATGTAATTACTATCTGAGAATGAACATTGTGAAACTGAAGTACCAGTTTCTACATCTCTGGAGGTTGCACTCAATCTGTAAGCTTCCTTCATATTACTTAGATGCACAATATCTCTCTGCAATGCATCAAACTGCTTCTGCTTATCTAATTTTAAATCTAAAAGACACTGCAGATTTTCAATTTCACAAGCCAATGTGCTGTTGGATTCACTAGTCTCATTGTAATTCATTTGGCTGTCTTTAAATTCTTCCTTTCCTTCCTTACAATTATTATAATATGCGTTCTTCATCTCTTGCAGAATTTTCTTCTCAAAAGACTCCTTGCTTGACTCAGTTGTAGCAGTATTATTGAGAAATATTTTCATTACATTAGGATTCATTGAATCCTCAGACTCAAAAGTGCTTTTGCTAATAGGAAATTTCTTATTTTCATACAACATATTTAAATTATTGTGAGATCCATCAGTGACATCTCCTGAAGCACACTTGTTGTAGTCAACAGTTTGCTGTTGCTCCTTACACTTCATAGTGAATTTATCCAATTTAGAGACAGACTCTGCTCTATTGTCATTGAGGATATCTTCGAACAAGGTTTTGTACTCCTTGATTTTATTCTCCGATATGGAAATGTTCTTTCCACCTGCTGATTTAAACATACACTTTGTGTACTCCAAATTGCTGCAATTCTCCACAGCCACTTTAAGTATTTTGCTCTGTTGTCTATCCAAAGGTATCTTTCTTCTGTATCTCTTCTTATTCAGAATCGGAGACAGGGGTTTCTCTAAGCTCTCTTTGTCTGCCACTGTCCCTGGTGATGTTGAATTTGATTCCATCTAAAATGTTTTGTTTCTAATTAATTTCTGTGCATTTTTTCAAAAATTTTGAAACCTTTTTTCATAACTCAAGCACACTGAGATCATCTAATGAACTACCAGCTGATATTCTATATTGATGATTATTAATATAGTATACTTACTTTATGTTTCCTGAGATATTCACAATTGCTTTATAAGATTATTATGTATTTATTTACAAATTGTCTTTTATGATTGTTGGTGGTGATCTTACCATAATATTTTTATTTTGAAATTTAACTGCACATAACCTAGAATCTTGACGTTTTGATGAGTTTGTTTACAAGTTTTGTTACTATGGATTTAAATTCGTATAACAATAATATTCCAAATAATATTTGAATTAAGTTATTAAATTTTATATAAATTGACAAAAACTTATTATGAATTTTTATTTGAAAATTATCGAGACTATGAAAAATTAAAGCACACTTCAACAATAAATCGTCCCAATTTTTTAAGAGCAAAACCCATTATAACGGTTTTATTTATTAATACATTCCTTTTTTTAAATGTATATGTATTTTCCTATTTTAGTTAAGGTTTAGAAATAATTGTAAATTAGTTTAATGAACCAAAACCAATTAAAATTACAAGATGAGATATATAAAATTAACAAACTTTTGCATGAATGAATGAATGTTTTGAACATAGTAGGAATTTATTATTTACTATGTGAGTTTGTTGAGATATCCTCGAAAAGTAAAAAGAGAAACTAAAATAAAATACCTAGCAATAAAAATAAAGATTTATGTATCAACGAGCTGAGGTTTCAAAAGAATCTAGTCCAGTAAAAATACTCCAAATGCAATTCCCAAAATAGAAGACTCGAGTTTGTGTAAATGCTATTGAAAGATATTCACATAAATTCGTTCACAAAAACACAATATTTGTCATATGAATTGCAGTTATAATAATGCAAATTTTACAGTTTTGAATTCAATCTCTATATGCATGTGTTTTCTTAGCTTTTTTAAAACATGTTTAATGAAATATGTTGTGTTGTTTAAAGTTTTTTTTTACAATAAGTTAGACCAATGTTTCTCAACCTTTTTGTCACATGACCTAACATATTTGTTTACTTCTCAAAGTATTTCACCAGTTGACACAGGGTGACAGCTGTCATTTTGTGTCCCATTCAAAATTTGACTCAATTTTGGGCCACGACCCATAGGTTGAGAAACTCCGAGTTGCTCAATATAATATTACAATTAATGTAACAGAAAACAAGACACTTTTGATAGTGTTTAATGTTTATTTTTACAAAAAATTATAGAAAGTTAGACCAATACTTTCAACCTTTTTGTCACATGACCCAACATATTTGTTTATTCCTCAGAGTATATCACCAGTTGACACAAGGTGACAGCTGTCATTTTGTGCCCCATTCAAAATTTAACTCAATTTTGGGACACGACTCAATTTTCGAGAAACTCTGAGTTGGACAATATAATAATACAACTGATATAATAAAAAAACAAGGCACGTTTGATAGTGTTTCATTTTTATTGATTTTCATTACAATGTATCTCTTGTAGACTATCAAAAAAATATTTATTGTATGCAGATTTCGTGGTACGGTAAAACGTTACGTGTAATTTGCATACGCTTTACACAATTACGTTCGCATTTCGTCGGAACCCTCGCATTGATTATCCAAATGACGTACAGTTCATTCAATTCCAGAACGAAATAAATGCATGCATAAACGTTGGACTTTAACTAACACAATTTACACAATATCATTTCACTAATGTATTCGTAGAAGTAATAACATCAAATGAAAATAATTAATATTCAATTTTTCTATCATTTATTTGGAAATAAAGTTTGATTTGATGAACACGCTAACAATCTTAGTGTATATGATTTTTTAGTACATTATCAATTTTCGTAATTATCTATCAAAACACATTAGTTTATTTGCATTTAGGCACGCTTTTATTGCGAAGTTGCTGATAACCTCTGCAGCGTTCTCAACTGAAAGATCTTGGCCTAGTCTTTTATTGATATATTCTCTGATTACTCTGCAAATTTTCCTCTCGCGGATTTTTGGACGAAATGTTGCAATCTTTTGATGTTGTTGCTGTTTCCCAATACTAAATGGCATTAAGTACTTAAGATTTGGAAATAGCAAATTCCGAAAGAAGCAGGGATAAAAATAAAATAAACATAACTCATATCTAATCCATGGAAGACTCGTATAAATAGGAGTGTTCACAAACAATTTTATATAGATATTTATTCACTTTTACTATTAATAATCATTTTTTTTATAAAAACAACGATCGCAATTTTCATGATAAAATTCATGATTCAGAATGTTATTCTAGATATAATTTTGTTAGTTTACTAATTATTACAAAATGATTTGAAATTATAGTAAAAGTCATCAACTTGTATAGTGATACAAAAAAGAAACTTATAAGAATTGTAAAATATCAAATAATTTGTGTTATTCCATTCAAAATTATATATAAAGTAAATTATTAAATGATAGCAAGAGAATAAAATTTTATTAAAAAAAACAATGTATTTTTTTCTTTCAGCACAGTTGATTTCATTGGTTAACAGTTAATAAATGTTTGCATCGATTAGTAATTTATTTGTGAGTTTTCTAAGTACAAACATATTTGTACATATTTGTTTTTTTTTCACTCCTTTAATCGATGATAACAATAGATAGTACTGAGTAACGTGAAAGATTTTTAAGGGTCGAATGGCAAATATTTGCTTAGCAATGATTAGATTAAGGTGATTTTGTTTGTTTGTTTTGACTGTATTATTTGTTTGTGGTTTTTGATTTAGAGTGAAAATGAGAGCAATTTTAAAGGCGCCGTCTACTCGCCGCACAATTCTATTCAAATCATTTGTGAAGTATAAGTACACGCAAATTTATATTATTCATCAAGTAGTTATCCAAGTTACCTGTCGCAAGTACAAATCATTTGTGCAAGTGTCATTTTATATAAATATATATAAATATACTTGCGTTTGACGTTTCTCGCAAGTTTTTTTTTAAGTTTGCGCAAAAACTTGTTTCTATATTTAAATATTTATATTTATTGACGTTTCTCTCAAGTACAAATAGATTCTTAAAATGTATGCATATTTACGAACTTTTTGTAATTTGAATATATTACTTCTTTATTTAAATACTTGTCTTATTTGTCAGTTAATTATTTATGAGTCATTACAACTTACTTTGTTACTTATTAATAAAAAAATATATGACCAATTTGACTATGAAATATGTCATTGCATTTTTTTAAAATTGGGTTTGAGTTTTCAATGTATCGTTTTCGTATCGAATGTTTGTGTTGCAGACGGTAATAGTTAATGTGCCAATTATGCGTACTTGATACTTTTCAAGTTATTTGATATGAGTTTTGTAGTGTGTAGGCACCTTTGAAAAGAATAAGAAGAAGCGTGTAATGATTAGGTTGTAGGTGTAGGTTTGGTTGCGGTCGTGCAGGCGCAAGCGCATCGGGATGTCCGAGCGGGCGTCGCAATGCGTGAATGGTTATGTTGTTTGATGGATTATAGAATATGTAAAAGAAATGTATGTAAGAGGAAATGATGGGAATAAAGGTTGTAAAAGTTGCTGGATGGATGCGTGCATGAATGGGTGATGTGTCGTAACGTCGGAGTCTCCTTTATCAGCTCCGTTATCAACCTTGGAGTATCGAGTGCGATCGCGTCGGTAGCGACCGGGCGCAATAGAGTGCAGTAATGTCGCGAGCGAACTATTTTAGTACGAATTGATTGTGGTGGTCTTAATAGAACCTCGTGTGTTATTTATGCAGCTTTGCTGGATCGCTGGTGCGATTCTCTCGTTCGTCTGGTATTATCGTGCAGTGGTGTTTTCCACCACTGGTTAAAGTCTTCAAAATTCCGCGCTCAATTTATAATTTTAGTGATAGTGACAGTGAGATGAGTTATAAGGACCGAGGCTCACCGATACTCCTAGAAAGTGGCTTAAAATCGTTCCTGAGCCATCCGGGACATAATTACCCCCTAATCAATGGTAAGCCGAATCAGGAAAAGCGAGCCCTAATTCCTAATGCCGCATATATTGGCATTTAAAGAGCGTTTTTACCCAGGCATTTCGCAAAATCCCACAGAGCGGACCGGAACTTGCGCATTCAAAATCTGCACCAATCCATCCTCCGCATCTAACCCTCCTTTAAAATCGAACTACCGGTGCGATGATATACTACCCCTCCTACATTCATTTAATATTTATTAGGCATACCCTCATGCACTCCCACCACCACCCATAGAGTTGCTGCCCTTCTAGGGGAACCGACCACCATGACGGGGCTGGTCTGGACGAATCTCCACCCACACCCACACCCCTCCAAAACAAATCCAAACCAAAACCCATCTGAAAGCATCATACCAACCCCCACATCCTCATACACCATAAATTTATAACAATAACATAACTAATAATTAGTTCGCTATTTACATGCCAAATAATAGGAAATTAGAGTCACATGGTTTTTAATGTTGCGGACGCATGCGCGCTGCCCGCCGTAGCCTGTGTATAACCTAGACTAGAAATATAATTAAGTTGTTAAAATAATAGCTCCAAAAACTCGTGTTTGAACTATTTTAGAGACGAGCATACGAGTGTTATTTTTACTAGTCTCATGACGTCTGAACTTTATCAACGGCCTTGCCGTGATGTCTTCAAAAGTATACAAGAAGCTTGCTTGCTTCGCTCGTTCGCATTCAGACGGACCAATCGTAAAACGCGGTCACGCACCGAATTCCCCCCTTTTCGAATATAAATAATTAAAACAAATGCACACCCTCATCCCACTGACCATTGTTGTTGGTCGTCACCGAACGGTGGTGTGCACATGCAAAAAGTTCATCCGCATTTCATTGGCACTTACACTTTACAAGCTGACATTTAGTGCGAGGTGTACTAAAATATGACTTTGACTTAAAGATTGGCAAAGATTAGGTCACATGAGTTACAAAAATAACGGCCGGCCGTCCTATAAATAGTTTTACAATTATTTTATCATAAACTCCTCCAAAAAGAGAACGGCGTTAATGGGCATTAACCGTGCCCGTTCATACGCTTCAAATTAGAACCGAATCTTTCGTTTTCGATGGGAAAAAACTATCATAATACATGCGACTCACATAAAACCCGATTATTTCTGCTGCACATACAACGAAAAAAAAAGGTAGAATTCTACAACGCAGATTGGCGATTTTTTTGCCGCCCGTTTCTTTCCATTACATTGAAAATCATA